TCGTACTTTGGTTCCAGATCTTGATTTTCCTGCTTCAAGTCAAGTATCAGGGCCTCTCGGAGTTCCTGAAAGATTCTACTGTGACATTTGTGGCTTGTCTTACAAAACCCGCTTGTCTTACGACCTCCGCAAGCACAAAAAATATCACCTGGGAAAAAGAACATGTAGCATTTGTGGCAAAATGTACTCGAATAAAAACGGCCTTCGAGCGCATATACTCATGAAGCACGGACGATTCGCCCGACCTTAAAGACTTCAGAAAGAGGCTATGACATTCATCCTAAATAAAAATGGCAGAACATGTTTTGTTTTGTTGACAGGAACCTAAGTATTTAACGCATTAAAAATCAACAGAGGCGGATCAAGAAGGTTGGCAACACTAGCCTTACTCAATTTAAAACTGTGTTAAGTAATCGATTCTTTTCAAAGCACGGCCCCTCCGAAAATCGATAAATTTCAACAGGTTTAAATGGAGCAAAAAAAAATGTTGCAAATTTCCTGGATTGTCATGAGAGAACTCACAAGTTAGAATATTTCTCACTTTTCTGGCTGAAAAATAAAATACGAGAGAAAATTATCGTGACGTCTCGTGTAGTTAGGTTGCTAGTGGTTCAATTTGTCCAACTACTCAAGTCAGATAGAGATTATTGACGAATGTTTGTGGTTGCAATTGATTGCAGATTTCCCGTTTGGTTTTCGTGCATCAAGCTGTGGCGCAACGTCGAGCATGTCCGCGTCATGGAAAAAGTACACATGTCACGAGTGTGGATCTTCGTACACAAGCGCGAATAATCTTCAAAAGCACATGAAATCACACTCGGGAGAAACCGCTTGCAGCATTTGCAAGAAAGTTTATTCGTCCAGAAGGAGTCTGGTGGAACATATGAAAATAAGACATTATTTAAAGAAATTATAATGCATGTTGTTGGTTCTCTCGTGTGTAGTTGTAACTCTCTTTACTACTTACTTTTGAAGTGATATTTGTCTTGTTTTCTCACGTAATACATGTAAGCTCTCGAACTTCTCAAGTGCTCAAAATTATTGCAGTAATAACCGAAGTGAATTACAGAAATGCTGTGTTTTAAATACAGAAAAAATATGGCTCCATGTTCATGTTGTCATCTTTTTATTTTGAAGTTAATTATATTTTTTTACTAATGAATCCGTGAATTTCCTTTCATCAACCTGAAAAATAGAAAATTATAGTATAGAACAATCACACTTATCAGTACTTAATCATACAGTATAGAACAGACAAAAGTGGCGATTAGGTGTGTCACCTCAAAAAATATTTAAATCTCTAGTTTTAAAGAATTGCTGAGGGGAGGGGGCTCTATTTATGTATGAAATATGCTTTCTCATGACTTTAAATGTCTAAGAAAAGAAAACGCATGGCTACTGATGTTAGAGTCTACTGAGCTTACCTCATTTTACCCCAAAATGTGACGTACTCGTAGTAGGTCCTTTTTGTTAAAGTTGGTACCTTTGAACTATGTTTGCGATAAAGAAGTGCTATTTCTGGCTCACTCACAAAAGCAATGATATGTTGTTTCTAAAATGAGCTAGTAGTAAAAATGCTGTCTATTTGTTCTCTGGTCAGCTCAGTCCATGTTTATCGGTTTTTTGATAGATTCAGTTTTGTATTGTGTCAAGTATCAGTATTAATTTTTGTACTAACTTTTTTTAGATGAAGATGCGCGGGTTCAACCAAAAATGGCACGGGAAAACTCAGAATGGCATTGCTTGGAAACCCTCCCGGCATTCAAAAGACAAGAATTAACCGAGTATTTAACTGAATTGCTTAGGAAGAGTCTGGATGGGCAGGCAGTTCTAAGCGCGTATGAACAAGGCGCTTTTAATAATACAATGAGATGCATGTTGACGGAGATCCTAGTGAACCACGAAATGAATAATTCCATAACGAAAAGAATTTCAGGCGAGAAGTTCAGATACATGGCCCTCGCAATAACGTCAGTGTTCCCCTCTGAAAGCGCGCTCATTTATTACGTGCCTCATGTGAACTTGGGTCGTGGGAAAAAAATGAGTCCCAGGGGCAGATTATTTGAAAAATACCAAAGAAAGATGCGAGTGTATAGAGGTATTGGCGGTGTTGTCCCTTAGAATCAGGCCTGCGACTTTAATTAACAGCAATGGAACAGGCAATAAACAGACTCGATTTTGCAATAAACCTGCGGTACCCCTAAGTCACAAGCGGATCGAGGGGGGGGGGACGTAGGGGGTGTGCGCCCTTTCCCTTCCCCCGTTTGCACGAAAAAAAAGACGAGAGAATAAGAGAAGGAACGGAGAAAGGAACACGGAAAGACGCTTACATTTGGATTGCATTTTGGGAAAAGGAACCAAGAGCATTTCAATGTTGCTAAGCCTGTGCAACTTACATCCTTTGCAATACAATTACTGAAGTCATGCAAAAAATTAAATTTACCGATGTCATTACCGTCGTGAATTTACAGTTCATTGGAAGTGAAGATAAAACTTGTTAAATGATCAATTTATATTTGCACGGTAAAAATGGTTGCACAATCTTAGTGACATTGGAATGTTCTTGGTTCCTTTTTGCAAAATGCAATCCATTTGGTAATTATGCATGATGCAAGTGACCCGAACTGCAATGTAGATGCTTCAAAAACTCAAAAAATTGCTGACGAAGGCTCCTGGACCTCCCTCACGCCCCCCCTCCCCGTTCAAGGTGTCTCGATCCGCCTATGTAGGGCATAGTTCTCTTCATTTCTTAAGTTCTTCCCTGATGTATTGAATTTTGTAATTGAATCTAATTTGGAATCAATTTTTTATATTCTGAGGAGTTGTAAAAAATTAATAATTTCAATTCTTCAATTCTTATTTTTAAAGGCATGTGCCTATTTCTGTCTCATAAAGTAAGTTTATAATTTCACTTTTCTGTTGTTTTATTTTATTTAGATTATACATAGTCATACGTCTCTTTTAATCGTTTTGTTAAAAGTGTTATAAGTTTATGAGACTGTGTCATGAGCATTATTTGTATGTTATTGATTTTTTAATCATAAGAGGTGAATGATCAAACCCTGTATCACGAATAATTTGTACTTTAATGATTAATGCTCATAATTTCAAAGACGTGTCCTTCATATTCAGTATCCGTCAAATTCTTCGTTAATTAATTGTTAACATAAACAGTCATAAGTTAGAGCTAACGAAGTTAGGTTTTTTTTTTTTTTTTTTTTTTTTTTTTTTTTTTTATTGTATCTCAGTATTGTACATAGTTAATACATAGTTAATATGTTTAATTAAATGAGTAAAATTAAAATTAGATTAGAATTGAATTAAATCATCTACTAGTTAGTTAATAATAACTTAGTTATTAACAGAGTATTTACATGTATTATTAATTAAACATTTTGATAATAAAAGTAATTGAAATAGATTTGATTTTTTGCTATTAGTTACAGATTCCTTAAATATTTATGTACCTGTGTTCCGAGACACGCCGGAATTACCCGAAGGTATATCATCGGCCGGGAGTTGGTTGGCTTCTACTATCGTTCTATCATGTCTTCTACTATTATATACACTACTTTTAACAGTTAAAATTTTTTTAATGTAATTATGCACTATCTTCCACTTAATCTTGCTACTTATCATCTCTTTCACAATATTGTCTGGTTTTAAATTAATGTTCAGTTCGGCTTCAATCCTCATTCTATCGGCTGTGAATCTTGAGCAACGAAGTTAGGTTGTAACTACCAAAATTTTGTATGCGCAGAACTGCGGATTTATCCGGGCAGAATAAATTGTTTAAAAAATTTTCTACCAAAAACGTGTTTGCACAATTATTGAATAATATTCCTGGTAATTGTATAATTTGGCAATGTTGCAGAAATGCTGCCCTGCAAAGTGGACGACTGACCTAGGTCAACGCGCTTGTACTTACAATAATTGCAACTCATACATCCCATGAATAAAAAATGTTGGACTAATTTTCAGTAGTGTTTAAGAAAGACGGAGCGCCTGCAATTTTTACTCAAGCAACCCGCATACCCCATATACACGAATAGTTTCAACCAGGCGCCGCTCTTAAAATTTTTACCCCTGCGCGAGATGATTCAAAATAGTTTTGGTGCGAGATCCGCGATCTTGTTGCGCTGTTACACGGCTTGTGTTTTCCAGAAACAATATTTATTGTAATGTGCAGGTCACTGCAAAAACCTGATCCATTACGTGTATCAGCATTACTGCGGAGTAGTGTGACATCAACTTTGCGAGGAATCGTTGAAAATTCATATAGGAAAGCACCGCAACGGCCATCTTCCGTTAACCCAATGTGTGTGAGAGAGATATTCTAAAACGTTATCTTTATCTTACACATTGATTTGATGGGTTTTGTCCGTTATGGTAGTTTCCAATTTAAATGTTCATTGCATCTTCACTAATTTGGTGTCATTTTACTCAGTATTAATGCTGTTACGCGTATAGATCTGTATCTTGCATTAACTTATATATTACAATAATTATTGCTTCTCAAAAACACAAACCGTGCAGCAGCGCAACGATAGCGCAGATATAGTCCCTAGATAATTTAGAATCACCTTCAGCAGGGGTGAAAATCTTAAGAGCAGCACCTGGGAAATGTGGGTCGTATGCTAAAAAATTGCAGGCGCTCTGCTTCTCTTAAACACTACTGAAAATTGTTCGACAAATCCGTTTCGGATCTCGTCCCTAGATTACTTAGAACCACCGTAAGAAAGTTAGAGCGCCTGCAATTTTTCGGGCATGCAACCCGGATATTCCATAAACACGAATAATTGCATCCAGGCACCGTTCTTAGGCGCCTGCAATTTCTCGTGCATGCAACCCGGGTATCCCATAAACACGAATAATTGTATCCAGGCGCCGTTCTTAGGATTTTAACCCCTTGCTCAAGAGTCGATCGCTCACCATTGTTGCAGCGAAATATCGAGCCTTGGCGTTTCAAAATTTACTAACTTATATTTTGTTTTGAATTATTTCAGGTTTTCATATCGGAGCATACCTGGAACAGCAGAAACCGAAAAATGCAAAGCCGGCGCGGTTCGTGTGTCCCATCTGTCAAGCGTCTTACTCCAGCCACTACAGCCTTAAATATCACATGAAATCCCACACCGGCGAGACAACTTGCGCCATTTGCTCCAAAACTTTCACGATGAAAGCCAGCTTGAAACAGCACTTGATCATGGTGCATCATCTCGCAAGATGAATCTCCTTCGCTTTTTATATTTATTCGATCAATAAGACTCCCTTTGCAATTTATCTGTAACTTAATCTTACGTACAAATTTTTATAAGTTATACCTATCGTTGTATTGAATTCTGACCAAGTGCAGCAGATAGGACATCAAACGGTCACGGAAAAAAAAAGATAAAGTGCTGAGCCCTAACCGATCAGATCAAATGGAGCCAGCTGATATGGTAGTACTGCTGAGACCTACAGTCTGTAGGGCTGGACCCTCCAGTTGTAGGCTCAGCGCTACTGCCATACTACATTTATAGGTGGCTCCATTTGATCTAAACAGTTAATGCTCAGCACTATATCATGTTCTCCGTGAAAGTATCGATTCACGGCGATTGGGACAGGAGTCAGCACGGATAAGCTTTTGTGGATCGTCCAAGACTGAGCCAGAAATGACAAAGAAAGTGATTACAAAGGCTGTATTTTTAATGAGCCCATTGAAAAAATTTGTCAAATAATAGACAGAAATGAAATGGACGTATTTCTATCAAACGGAACTATGTGCATTAAGTCATGAGCCCTGAGACCCATAAGTATATGTGCATAACAGGGCTCACGTCATAATGCACGTAGTTCCGTTTGATAGGAATACGTCCAAATGAGCCACTAGACAAGGTTTGAAGTCGACAAAAACGTCACATCGTCACCTTCCAGGCAAAGTATCACAAGCGCCATGCGACGTTTAAAAATTTCCGCCGCCATTTTATTTCTTCACTGAGAAATGGTTGGTTGAATCTGTTTGGAAATTTCACTAAAATTTATCGGCAGCACAAAGAAAATTCAGTGAAATTTTCGGACAGCTTTGTTGAACAATTTCTCTGTAAAAAAATAAAATGGCGGCGGAAATTTTTAAACGTCGCATGGCGCTTGTGATACTTTGCCTGGAAGGTGACGACATGTATTCTCTTTTAAATTATAAGTGGAATAACAGGAAGGTTTGAAAACAACTCCTGCAGTCCGATCGTTGAAATTGTTTGTTTGTCGGGACGACGTAGATGACATAGGTTAACAAACGGAGCGTGATTGGTCGGCTATGTCTCATCGCTGCTTTGTCGTGCCTATGTCGCGGTTTGAACTCACGACAAGCTAACGGCACCTCTCAAGTTTCCGACAGTTTATCGTCCGTTCCGCCTGACAAAGGCACGACAAAGCAGCGGTAAGACATAGTCGACCAATCACGCTCCGCCTATTCACCTACGTCATCTATGTCGTCCTGAAAAACAAAAAATGTCAACAATTAGGCTGCAGAACGATATACAATTAACATTGATTAAATGGCAAAATTACAAACGACGTCAGTTGAATAATGTAACTGCTATTTGGTCCATCAACGGTGAAACTACCAAACCACGTATCTCGGTTTGCGACGTCGCAGACTTCCTGCCATACTTTATTTTTTAAATAGAAAACTACTCAACGTCAATTCGTGAAAACTTCAGTGATTTTTCTTCTTTGTGCGGAGAAAAATCTGTGAAAATTGTAAGGAATGATAATGATTTGATACATACATACATTCCAGTCGCTTTACAGCGCGCTCGGGCGCTCTGCGACACCTAATCGCCATCCTTGCCTATCGATCCAGAGGTCATCTGGTAGATGGCATCTTGTGATTTCATCTTGAATGCCACCAATCCACGATTTTTCTGGGCGTCCCCTACGCCTTCTCCCAGGAGGAACCCAATCTAGCACCTTCTTAGGCAACCTATCATCCGCCATTCGTTGAACATGACCATACCAGACAAGCTGTTTGGTCATAATTTCATGCACGATGTTCTGCTCGGCGTTCATGATCTCACGGACTCTTTCGTTCCTTACGTGATCTCTCCTCGAGATTCCGGCTGATCTTCGCCAGAAATCCATCTCAGTTGCCTTAAGAATCTTTTTGGTACGCTCTTTCATGGGCCACACTTCACTGCCGTAGGTCAGAATGCTTTTGATTATGGTGTTATAAATCATTCTCTTTTTTTCTTTAGAGATACTTTGATCCCAGAGAATCCTATTTAAATAGCAATAGCTTTCCTTCCCTGCAGGTTTCGATCTTTTATGGCTTGGTCCATCTTTCCATCCTGGGATACTCGAACTCCTAAATATTTGTAATACTCGCAGCTTTTAATATACTGTCCATCTTCCAGCTCTATGTCTTGCTGATCCCCTCCAATCGTCAACTTTTCCGTTTTCTTGACACTGACCTCTAGGCCCCACCTTCGATATTCTAGCACTAATTTCCGAGTCATATATTCAGCGTCATCCGCATCCTGCGCGATCACCACCTGGTCATCAGCAAAACATAGAGTATACAATGTGTCCGTATCATTTAGGGGAACGCCCATGCCAGAGCACTTCTTTTTCCACTCTTTTAAAACGTGTTCTAGAAAGATCTTAAATAACGTAGGTGACAGACAACATCCTTGTTTTAAACCTTTAGAAACATAAAAACCACCAGATAACCTCCCTTGACATTTAATTCTAGTAAAACTTCCACAGTAATATTTCTTAATCGCATTCACAAGTCCATCACTAAAATTCGATTTTTTCAGGGCTTCCCAGAGTTTCATTAGTGGAACGCTATCATACGCTTTCTGAAGATCAACGAAAACTAGATGGAGCTCCTGTCCTACGGCCATTTTTTTCTCAACCAGTTGTGTGATACAGAATAAATGGTCGACAGTTGACCTACCGGCCCTGAATCCTGCTTGCTCCTCCGCTTCATATGGAGCCCACTCTTCTTCGATTTTAGCTTTTAAAATTTTCCCGTAAATTTTACTAACTGTCCCTACGACAGATAGCCCCCTGTAGTTTTCGCAGTCATCCTTCTTTCCTTTTTTGTGCTTAGCTGAAATCCAGGATTCTTTCCACTCCTTCGGTACTTCCTCGCCCTTAATGCAACGATCAAACAAGCCCCTTAGAAGCTGAAATAACTTTCCCGTTCCGCATTTCATCAACTGTGATGGTATATCTCCAGCCCCTGGAGCTTTAACATTCTTTAATTCCTTGATTGCCTTCACAACTTCCTCGAGTTTAACCTCAAGGGACTGTGTTTCTTCGTTACATTCTGGAGCGCTATCTTGAAACTCGGGTCGCCCTTCCGTCAATAATACTTTGATTGATCAAATCGTCAATAATGATTTGATCTCCTTCAAAAAAATAAAATGTGAGTGAAGATTTTTAAACACCGCAAACGAGATACGTGGTCTGGTAGTTTTACCGTCGCCATGTTGAAAATTCTTGTTGATGTCTCGTGAGGGAGAAGGTTTCTAAACCCTATCCAATGGCGCGGCGTCCTTTGCGATTTATCGATTGATACGCCATTGAAACCTATGGAAAAGGATCAATGGATAGGGCGTTCGCAATGAACACCTTCATAATCGATTTTCAATTACTTACCATAGCTTCAAATGGGAACATATCGATAATAATCGATCATTCACGCCTCGCCACTGACCCTATCGTGTAAATCGTTTGTACGTAAGATTGAGGAAAGAAAACACGTGACGTTTTCCTCCAGCTCGGATCTTGTATAGTGACCCATTCTGCTCTAATTTCTAGAAACTTAGACTGTGAAAATTACACAACTTGTATCATGATTGCGACGTTTCAAAACCTCCAATTTTTTCTGTTTTACTAGAAGAACCAACGAACGATATCGCTTAAAGTTTTCGGGGAATGTAAAAGAAACATCAAGGAATATTATCGTTCAAAATTTTCATGGAATGCAGAAAACTATGTTCCACTTCGTTGTAAGTTTGCAGATCGCAGCTTACCCTTCAAAACCGATTGTTTATTTTACAACCCTAGTCCGGGACTTTTTGGCCGATATTGTCCGAGAAACAACACTGCCGTGCTGAAGAAGAACGCCGTATAAACATTCGAGGGTTGCCAAATTTCCCTCGATAAAACATGTATTTTTGTCGATATTGATGCATATTTTTGTTTTAATGGGCCTGTTGCAAACTTTTGCTAGAGCAAAAATAAGAGTTGTTTCTTATAGATAATGCCTCAAAAATCACGATGAGCGCATCGGCAAAGTCTGAAATGCACTCATAACTTCACAGTCTGCGTAAGAAATTTGCGGTTTTTTGAGCTTCCCGCTTCAAAAACGATACTACAACACAGGTGAACATTTTGTAAGAGGAGTCGCTCCATCGTCGGCAATAATCATCATGGCCGACGCCAATCCGCCAAAACACGTTTGATGGGACGAGATAACACCTGAACTGGATTAGACCAGATAACAATCGGTGTGTTAACGTTCATATTTTCCACGCCCGAATTGATTGACCTTGAACTCTCCTCGAATCACGCACGGAACTGCGTGCAAGCGTCGGCCATGATGAATATCGCCGACGATGGAGCGACTCCTCTAACAAAATGTTCACCTGTGCCGTAGTATCGTTTTTGAAGCGGGAAGCTTAAAAAAACGGAAATTTCTTACGCAGATTGTGAAGTTATGAGTGCATTTCAGACTTTGCCGATGCGCTCGTCGTGATTTTTGAGGCATTATCTACAAGAAACAACTCTTATTTTTGCTCTAGCAAAAGTTTGCAACAGGCCCATTTTTCAGATGTTTTAGATGAAATTGGGTACGAAATAGTCGGAAAATTTTGGAAAAAATATTCACAATTTTTCGAGTAAATTCGCTTTTTACCGAAGGAAATTTTGCAACGTTTGAAGGCTCATTCGGCGTTCTTCCTGAGCATGACAGAACAGAGATTCAGCGAATGCACGACTTCCAACAGATTAAATCCTCTCTGCTCAACTTGGTCTTATTAAAAATACAGACGCTATATTTTATGTTGACGTCACGACAAGGATTTTCCATTGTATCAAATTGAATCCGAACAATAAAAATGACATAAGCTATTCAAATGCTAGCAATTATTAGAATGAATCGATACATAAATCGATTTCTTAGTGACTTGACACCAATAGCGTTTATTGCGCGAAGCAAAAAAATCCTATCGAGCCTTTAATTATTATCTCATGTTCTTTATTATTTTCTTATGATTAGAGTTATTTATCCCACAGATTTCAATTATTGTTCCTGACATTTTTATTCGAC